CTACCACACACACACACAGCAACAACAACAACAACAATAAAAGAAACAACAAATCATGATAATGACAATGTGACTCACTAACGCTTATGGTTTTGGTACAGCCGCGACACGTAGTTTTGCTGACTCAGTCCGTGCTCTCAACAACCAACAACAGCAACAACAACAACCACAGCAACAACAAATCATCATCATCATCAACACGGTAAGACTCACTGACGCCGATGGGCCTGGTACATCCGCGACACGTAAAGTTTTGCTGACTCAGCCCGTGCTCTCGCGGCACTCGGAACAGGAAGATCATCCGGGAACTCTGGGGACGGGACAGTTGGATAAATAAAAGCAACAGATCCATGATCGTCTCTTCATTTCTCACATTTTTACCCTCTCCAAGGTCTAAGTCTAAGTAAGTTTTAGTTTTAGTAGAGCTTTTACCGCGCTCGCAACTGCCTAAGGTCATATATGAGCGCCAGAAGATTAGAGGTGTTATAAGAGAGTAATAAACATAAAAAAGAAGGAGAGGAGATCAGGACGATTGATGTTTGATAGGAAAGAAGAAGCAAACCACACCAGAGCACCCACCAACCACCCACTAAGTCTAAGTAAGAAAATATGCTCCCACATGCATTCTTTTAAATTTTATGATGGGAGTAACGTAACCGATGAGTGGTGAGTCTACACAACTGTGGGTTAATTAAAAAAGGTTTTAAACGCCTCCCCCCCCAAATGTTTAAAAGTTGTTCTTTGTGGAGAGTACAGGGTCAGATTTTGAACAATTTTTGTACATTTACGGCAAGTATTCTCAACAACAGGCCATCAAATTTCCGTATTCGTAATTTTAGTAAGAGTTTTATGGCACTTGCAACACAATGAGTTCATATAAGTGCCGAAGATTAGAGGTGTTACAAGAGAGTAACAAACATAAAAAAGAAGGAGGGGAGATAGAAACGATAGACTTTTTATAGGAAAGAAGGAGCAAACCACACCAGAGCACCCGTCAACCACCCACAAAGTTTCCATATCTAATTTTATTTTTAACTGCCAGTACTTTACAACAATGATAATGATGATCATGATGGTAATAATAATAATGATGATGATGATGATGATAATGATGATGATGATGATGATGATGATGATGATGATGATGATGATGATGATGATGATGATGATGATGATGATGATGATGATGAAG